TTAATTAGGGCTTATTTGGTTCTTTGCAATATTTGTAACCTTTGCAAATTTTTGGCAATGGCAAAAACTAATTGGTGATTATTTGATTGCCAAAAATTTTGATAAAGTTATTCGCTACGTTTTTATTTGGCTTGCTATCAAAGTTGCATAGGTATTCAAATAAACCAAAACAATTTGGCGATGTCAACTTTTCGGCTAAAAACCACAGACGACACTATTTTTGACTTGCTAATTTGTTGCCTTGATTGAGTTAGGCCACAACCAAATAATCCCTTAATTCCCAGTAGGCATCACTGATTTTTACTTAATTAAGCTATCTCTCTATATATATCTGCCAATTAATTTATCCTTGTTTTTTAAATGATGAGATTTTTCCGGAACCGTATATATACGTAAATGTTGTGTGTGTTAAGTAGTAAATTAACCCACTGTTCTATAAGTATTTTTATTATTTAATTTTTTATCACAATATAAGTATTTTGTATACTAATTCCAATACATGAAAAGCTATATAAATCTTCAACCAATGAAATGCTTGGAAAGAAAATCAGAGCAATTCAACTATTTTTCCTGGAAAAGCAACTCGATCAACATTTGACCACATTGAAGTAACTCAAAAAATGATTATTTCTTACTCCCTCCATCTATTTTTTATAGTCATATTTTCAAATCTGAAAAATTTATTTTGATAGGCATATTTCAATCCAACAACATATCATCTTAATGACTTTCTCGGATTAATGCATGACTCTCTATTCCTTCACGCAAGATTGACTACATGGGCATTGAGAAATGTAAATATTAATGAATCGCTTATTTACGAGTAATGACTCGTAGCATATTTAAATAGATGATAAGTAGAATTAATTAAGTAGAATGGCTATTAAAAGTAGTTGGAAGGAGTAGTTTTTTCGAAAGGTTTACATTTTGAGAGGGTGAAAGTAATTCGTTGAATTTCCAGTAACTTTCAATATATAAAATGCGCGCACAACCTGACAGCAATATTCTACTGGAGTGTCGGCTTTGATTTGATTGCTGAAAGCATCGAATCCTTCACCTAGAGATTCCCGGCCGCCCCTCTAGCTAGAAGATAATTGTACGTCACAGATAAAATTCACTAGTGTAATTTTCACACAACAGCTTGACGCGACGATTACAGTACGTACTCTCTGCAGCTAATCAAATTTCAGTAGAATTCACGAATGTAATTTTCAGGCAACAGCTTAATCGCAGTACTCTTCAGCTATTCAAATCATCATTATATATCTATATATTCGGTTACCTACATATATACTTACTAGCTACTTCCTCCGTTCGATAATGTAAGTCATTTTAGTATTTTTCACATTCATATTGATATTAATGAATCTAGATAGATTCATTAATATTATCTAGATTCATTAATATCAATATGAATGTACAAATACTAGAATGATTTACATTGTGAAACGGAGGGAGTACTATTCTTTTTAGAGAGAAGCTAGCTGTAGCTAAATATACATATATACTTCCTCCGTTTCACAATGTAAGTCATTCTAACATTTCTTATATTTATATTGATGTTAATGAATCTAAACATATATATATCTATCTAGATTCATTAACATCAATCTGAATGTGAGAAATGCTAGAATAACTTACATTGTGAAATGGAGGGAGTACATGTCTTAGCAATAACTTTGTTTAGCGTTGAAATGATATAATTATATTTTCCCTAATTAACAATTACCAACGGAAGGTAGTTGTGTTTCAATTCACTAGCTAGCTAGCTAGCTTAATATATATACACTACTATATAGTACAATTCTATATATATGGTACATACGTAGTACCTAATAAGAAATTTATAATGCAAATTAATTCCAACGACCTATTAAATTTGGTCAATTCAATTATTCGAAATCACATATATATATAGACGTGTGTAAACATTCCTTTTTTTTAATAATGGAATAAACATTCCATAACTTAATCTCAAACTTGATTCTAATTATATGTCTAAATTAAACATATAGCTAGTAGCTAGCATGTCCAGATTCATCTCTAGAATTGGACTCTTTTTGGGATGGAGGGAGCACTTATATATAACAAGACTATTGAATAGTCTCACATTGGTTATGAAAGGGTAAGAGACCAAATATATAAGTGGAAGAGCCTCTCACCTAATTGACTAGCTTATGGGTAGGAAAGACCCTTTACGATTCTACAATTAGTATCAGAGTCTGGCTAGTTCAACGTATCTGACCCAAGGGACAAAGTGTGTGAAGACTTGATGGACCGTGGGTGCCTGCGGGGCCAGTATACCTGAGGAACCCTGAGGAAACGGTGAAGGGGCGATGAACGGTTAAGAGACACCAATGTGTAAAAGGGGATATTATTGAATAGTCCCACGTGTGTGGGAAAGACCCTTAATGATGGTGCAAAGATATAGACCCTTTACAATCTTACAAAGACATACGAGAATATCAATATATACTTGTCTCAATATATTCTGACCATTTTGATGAACTAGCTAGTGGCCGTACGTTCATATATACAGTAATAATCTGATCTTATATATGGGTTCTGGCAATTGGTTCCACCAATTGTTTAATATGGTTAAAAATTCGGTTTATAATATTTTGATAATATTAACGTGTGGCGCCGCTCGATCGGTGGACGTGAGGACAAAGCGATCGACATCCAGAAAATTAATCTGAGATTCCGGATAAGAGCCGGACCTATCAACTATAATTAAATGGTCAATATATATATATAACTTAGATCGATCGATCGCAATTAGGGCACTGAAACGTATTTAGGACTGGTTTTTTTTTTTTGGGGGGGACGGAGGGAGTAGTACTATTCTTTGTAGCCGGTGGCGTTAATTGCTCATAAAATACCGTACTAATAATTATCGGCTAGTACGTACGTTACGTTAGAATGAACTGCAAATACTCGATGCTGTTTGGTCCACTGGTCTAGTACTGCATGCATGATTTAATTTAGGTTCTGTTTAGATCACGTCCTAAAACTTTACACCCTATCATATCGAACGTTTGAATATCTGCATGAAGTATTAATATATGAAAAATAATAACTAATTACAAAAATTGTGCGACTAATTTGCAAGACGAATCTTTTAAGCCTAATTGCTCCATGATTTGACAATGTGGTGCTACAGTAAACATTTGCTAATAACGGATTAATTAGGCTTAATAAATTCGTCTCACGGTTTACTGACAAATTCTGTAATTAGTTTTTTATTAATGTCCGAACACCCTATGCGATACCCTATATAATACCCGATGTGACACGCTAAAACTTTACACCTCTGGATCTAAACACCCCTTTAAGAGCAGGTACAATAGTGGACGATAAGCCAGCTATAAACATATATCGAGAAGATAAAAGAAGAGGGAGATAAGCAGCGGGCTACAGATTTGTAGCGATCAGCACGGACTCTCAGACGTAATGTGTGTATGACAGATGAGACCAGATATTAATATTGTAATATATATTTATAGATAACTATTATATTAATTGGCTATTAAATTGACTATAGATAATTTGAAGCTAGTAGTTGGATGTAATATTAAACTTGCTCTTAATTGGTCCCATGCTTGTACGTATTTGTAGTAATTAATATAATTACTACAGAGATCCAGCCAGCTAGCTAGTTAGAGGTCCAAAGATCGATGCAAGATGACGAGAGACTGAAGTAATTTATCTCAAAATACAAACAAGTTAGTTCTAATTAAGGTTTTGGGTTTGACAGTTTAATTTCAGAATGATATTAGTATATGAAAATTAACAGTGGAGTAAAATTAAGTGACGAGCGGTGGACGCTAGCGAGAGCTGATGTATATATGACAATGACAATGATTTGAGTTGACTTAAGCGAAACTAAACGATTTGAGTTGAACTATATCTTTGTCCCCAACTTCAATTACCGGATTGATTAATTAATTATATGTGTAATACTGTAGAGAGCTAGCTAATATACTACTACTAGGCTACTAGCTAGTTGATAAATGCATTAGCTGCTATATAAATTATCTAGAATAATGTTAGCTACGTATACGTGCTATATATATAGCCAATATGCTATTCAAACAGTATCTGAAAATTGTAAAAATGAATAAATTTATGATAGTAGCAGCTATAGCTGAGTAGTTGTGTGAACAGAATGAAGATCGACGGTGCACATATATACTTGCGTTATTTCACTATCATGACCGCTGTTTCGCAGTGAAGAAAAAGTACCGCGCGCCAGCTATAACCAATTCACCTTCGTCCCTTCTTAAATATTTAGATATTTTTAAGTTGTTTAGCAAATATTAATTATAAGATTGGAAATTCCATCTAAATTATCTTACTTGTTAAATTTTAAATTTTGTAATTCCTCTCCTAAACATCTGATTAGCTAAAAGTGTTTAATTAGATTTCCATGCATTGAAATTATTTTAATTGAAAATATAGGGTATATATAATTGTAGAGATGACGTCGTCTGCTTGATTTTATTAACCGCAATAAAAAATTTAAATTAGATAGAGATTTATTTTATCATAGTTTATTTTCAAGCCTTATCTTTTAATTGAACCGTGCTAATAATATAGATATAAAAGTTCTAATTATATTTTTTTCGTTGTTTGTATATTTTACTAATATACGGTTACTCAACCAATTGAACCAGACTATATAAAGAGGCTGGATTAACTTTCATCATAAGGAAATAGAGACAATAATATGAATAAGTATTTCTTCCGTTCTGAAACGATCAAACTTAATACGGAACGTAACACATTCTATATTCTAGTATTATAAATCTAGACGGTGTGTCTATCCATATTAAAAATATAAAATATACCATATCATATATTAGATTTATTTATTTTACGACGGAGAGAACGTATGAGAGAGGAGTGAAATAAATGCAGAGACCACAGCTAGCTAGCTAGCAGCTCACTAACGACACAAGGGAGGACACTGGAGTTGCTACTACTACAAAATAAAAAGGCTCATGGGGAGCAAAGCAAGCCAAGCGGTGTTGATTAAAATCCAGAGAAATTAATTAAGCCAAGCAAGTGAAGTGACCTCTCTCTCTCTCTCTCTCTCTCTCTCTCTCTCTGCTGCACTACTAGCTAGCTGCTGCTCCTCCGGCTGGCCGGCCGGCCGGAGTGTGCCATGGCCATGGCGGGCGCCGGCGACTGGCCGTTCGCCGCCGACGAAGCGTACGCCGACTCGTCGGCCATATTCGCCGAGCTCGGCTGGGCCAACGGGCTCGCCGTCGTCGACGCCGTGGGGGAGCTACTGCCGCCGCTGGATCCACCGGGCGAGCTGGCCACGCCGCCGCCGCCGCCGCTGGATCTGCCGGAGACGCCGGCCGGGTCCTCCGCGGACGGCGCCGCGTCGTCGTGCTCCACCGACGACGCCGACGGCGGGAAGCCGGCCGCCGCGTCCACCGAGGCAGCGTAAGTACAATAATTAATCGCAGTTAATTTGTTGCAAGAGATTAATTTAATTTACTCGATAAATCGCTTGTTATTTCCCTCCAAATTATCCAAATTATGGTTCTCTTAGCATACTATAAAATTGAATTGAATTCGAAACAAGGAACTAATTAATTTAAAACTTTTCAAGTCTCTTCTATCTCCTTTTCAGTTTTTCCTCTTTTTTTTTGCTTTGCATTTTGTTTGGATGGAGATGATTTAACGGTGGCCAATTCGTTTACGTGGATAATTAATTAATTAATTTACGCATTTCTCCGAGGGGCAAAACGGTAAAAAAAGACGCTACTAGCTTCTAGCCAAGGGAGTGTGTTTGTGTGGTTAATCTTCTTCGAACATTGCGCCGGGATTCGCGTGCTAAACCTCCATCGCACATGTGCTTATAATTTCCTAATTAATTTAATGTGTTCCTCTTAAATTGAATTGTCTTGTCTTTATTTACATATATATGCTAGCTTTTAGGTGAGCTTATGTTCATTTTTTTTGCTAGAGATAATTAAGTACTGGAGTAGTGTATATTTTTCAGACACGTACTACGTACTCTACATACGTGTATATATATATACTCTCAATCTCTCATATTATATAGCAAAAATCTATGAGTACCTTGGAAGTGTTTATGTTTCATTAATTTATACTACTATTTGCCAATTAATCGATCGGTGCATGCATGTAGCCTAGATAATGCGCACTAGCTACAAAAGGAAGTACGAATACGTACGTACGAGTACGTGTTGGAATTAGGTTGCGAATTAAATTGCAAAAGAGGTCGATCTGGTGAGAGAACAAACGTAATTAATTAATTAATTAAGACAGGATCATGAATATATAGGAGTATTAGGCATCGAGTTAGGACATTTTCATTGCAAGTCGTCAGTAACATAATTTCTTATTGCCTAGCTACTTCTACTTGATGGCTTATAGTAGTAGTTTTCTTTTCATAACTTTTAAATTCTCGATCTGAACTATATACCTTTCTGACGGAAATTCTCTACAATATTAATTTTCATCGTGTGGTTATGTATGTTCAGGAGCAAGTCGCTGACGCCTGGGAAGAAGAGGGCGCGGCAACCGCGGTTCGCGTTCATGACGAAGAGCGAGATCGATCACCTGGAGGATGGCTATCGCTGGAGAAAGTATGGCCAGAAAGCCGTCAAGAACAGTCCTTTTCCAAGGTGCCTACCTACATTTTATACATATAAATTCATATATGGAGTATTACAAATGCATGCATGCTGTAGTAATAAGATGTCTTTGCTTTAATTTGGTTTCTCTAATTTCGATCTTCTTCTAATTAATTAAGTAATAGTTCCTGATATGCATGATTAATATAATTAATTCAGCACATATATACATTCATTCTCGATTAATTGATACAGTAGTGCAGCAACTATGAGTGAGTATCAGCACAGTGGGTTCACATATTAAAGTTGTGGGCTGAACGAAAAGGACGACGTACTTTTAGTTAGTTGTATGCGTGTGTTGTAAAAGCGTATCTACTCCAATATTTTTCATAATTACAATCACGGTACTTCGATTCTGAACATGAATATGCCAACGAAGCAAATTAAGCAACTCAGGGAATGAAATGCGTTGATTAATTTTCTGGATTTGATTAACATTGTATACTTTGATTTTCTATGATTTCATTTCGGTGAGCCACATACGCATGCAACAAAAATGTGTCCAATCATGTTAATAACTATTGGTTGCAGTAAGTATAGCTAGGACGACTGCTATAATTAAAGGAATGCTAGTATGTATATATAACATGATATCACATAATCTAATTAAATAGAAATTGACTTAGGTAGTCGTATCTTTCTCAAGTTATGATGCAAACTCCAATGGTTTTTGGCTGTTACAATGGCGGTGAATGATGTTTTAAGCTAGAAATATCCCCCAAATTACTCCTTTCAGCACTAGAGTAAAGACTATTTGTAATTTTATTAAATAATACAACCATAACCTTATTAGGCAACTACCATTAATTTTCTTCTATATGCTCTTGTGCACAAATTTTCTAGTCGGATATAAAGCATGTGCAGTTGTTTTGATGGCTTTTATTCATAACGTATACACACACACTCTCTCTCTCTGTGTTTAAAAATATAAGACGCGCACACACGTATTTTAAGATTTAAATTTTACAACTTTTGATCAACAAGTAGTCTAATCATGTATATGTCTAGAAACAAAAAAAAAGATAATCGTTGAATTCGTATTTGCTTGCACTTTCATCTATTTTTTAGTTTCAGTACCAATAATAATGTAATTTGGGAGAAATTGACGGTCAAAGTTTGACATTGGAGACCATACCAAATCAAACCAAGTCTTATATTTTTTTTAGTGGAGAGAGTATACCTGTTAAGTGTAGTTACTACTACTTACTATAGTAGTATTCTAGATGATGCATTGGTCCTAAACCCTTGAACCCTAAAATGTAACAAGCTAATATAAGCTGGCTGATCTCCCCCCAACATGTATATATTTCTTCTGCAAATGTAATTAATTAGCCCCCAAACTTTTTTTGCAAATAAATTAATCAATCAATCTCTTGGTTAAATTAATTAATTAACATGTGTGTGTATATATAAAAAAAAAAACAGGAGCTACTACAGGTGCACGAACAGCAAGTGCACGGTGAAGAAGCGGGTGGAGCGCTCCTCCGACGACCCCTCCGTCGTCATCACCACCTACGAGGGCCAACACTCCCACCACACCGTCACCTTCCCCCGCGCCGCCGCCACCGCCGCCGGCTTCTCGCACATCCACGCCATGGCCGCCCTGGCCGCCGCACCCTTCTCCGCGCACCAACAACTGTACAGCAACCTGCAGCCGCCGCCGCCGACGATGCCGCTTGCTGCTACTACTCCGGCGTCGTCGTCGTCGCTGCTACAGCTGCCTCTGCACTGCAACCATGAGCTGCAGGTTGTTGCCAGCTGCGGCGGCTACCCGTCGTCGTCGTCGTCGCCGCCGGCGAGTGTTCTTCCCGTCGACAAGGGGCTCCTTGATGACATGGTGCCTAGGGCAATGAGGCATGATGGGTAGTACAAGCATGCACACCATCGATTTAATTTGGGGTTAATTTGTAGCCTAATTATTAATCTTAATTAGCTGCTTCGATGGATTAATTAGCACGGTAAGTAGTTACTTATTCGTGTTGAGATCACTGGAAAGATAATAATTAATAGGGTACATAGAGATATATATATTAGCTATATATGAATATGGGTGATATATATATAATATAGTTCGAAATTAATAAACAATAATTGACTTATATATAGTTGTCTGTTTGATGTTCATTCTAATTGTAATTTCTATTAATTGGTGAATTAGTTGCTTTGATGGGATTAGCACAGCCATAAGTTGTATTTTTCATTGGTAATATGACAACGACCTGGTTTTTGAATGTCGATCGATGTTCTACAAACGTGGTGTGTATAGTGGTAAGTAATATAAGAGCAGAAGTAAGCCTTTGATATGACCCCCGGACTTAAGCAGATTTGTGTGATGATAAAATTAATAATAAAATAATTCATGCTAATGCATGTTTGACTCTAAAATTAAATTTGATCCTACAATCTTTGACATGTAGGCCACATTATCCTAGTTTCCTCCCACACACATGTTCATATCTCTTCTTTCTATAAAGATAATACCCACTAAACACATGCAAATATAGTATTTATTAGCACTTCTAGAATCAATATGTGGCTACATATTGATTCTAGAAGTGCTAATAAATACTATGTTTGCATGTGTTTAGTGGGTATTATCTTTATAAAACCACTAAGCACACAAAGTTCAACATGCAAGCATATAGTAATTATATCTATAATTTATTTCATTCTAAAGCTAAACATACACATGCTAAATCATCAATCTTAAATCATTTTCAAAATATTTCAATTCAAATCATTTAATCATTTCTACAATATCTAACATATATTGTAGGAACGAATCACAAGAACTAAGCCAACCAGAGGGGGGTGAATGGTTGGTATACCCAAAAACCAAAAACTTTTAGCGAAAATAAAAGTTACCCTCGAAATCGATGGATCGCGGTCTGACCGAAGTAGTTGCGCCGGTCTGACCGCCTGATGAACGTCGGTCTGACCGATGTAGATCGATCGGTCGAACTGTCGAGAATGCCTGCCGCCGACTCCTGTCGCCGCCGGTCTGACCGCCGTGTGCCCGCCGGTCTGACCGCCGGTGCACCGCTGGTTAGACCGCCGAAACCCGGTGAAACACAAATCGAAGAACTCTTAAAGTAGATGATGACTTTATTGATTCTCTCTGTGTTTACAAAGTGCACCAACATCACACCTTACAAAAATTTCGACTAAACTCGAAACCCTAACTCAAAACTCAACTCAATTGCTCTCTAAAGCGATACCGGGAAGCCTCACTGTCACACCCTAAAAATCCTAAACATATAAATTGTTGTTTAATTGGAATTATTAGAATTTATTTTAAAAGCCTAGAAAAGAAGATCTAATTTTAAATAATAAATTCCAATATAAAATGGGGCCAGATAAAATTTCATTAAATACTTTGCTTAACTCTATAATTCCTAGATTTTTCTGGGATTTATTTGAGCTAAGGAAGTATTTTTAATAAATGGAATTGCATTTCATGAATAATTTAAATTGAAAAAGGTTTTTAAAATCCTCTTTTGGCTTTGGGCCGAAAGTCGGCCCAAAACCTTCTCTCTCCCTCTCCCCGGCCCAAGCTGGCCCAGTCCGCCCGCAGCCGCCCGCGCGCGCGCTCGGCCGCTGACAGGTGGGTCCCACCTGTCGGACTCGTCGTCCTCCTCGCGCCGTCGCCCGGCCGGAACCCTAGCCGAGCCGCGCCGCCGTCTCCTTCCAAATTCGCTCGTGCCTTTCCTTCTCCGGTGAAATCAATAGAGGGGAAAAGATCTTCGGGATCTCCTCTACCTTTTCTCTTTTGGAATCGTCGGCTAAATCGTTTGGAAATCCGTGGATTCGAGTTCGATTCGGATCGATCTCTCTCCTCCGAACCCTAGACTTTCCTTCGTGTCGCCGGTCGCCGTGGGTCTTCGCCGCCGCCTTCCAACCCCTATAAAAGGACCCCCCAAGTCCTCCGCTACTTGTCGCCACCCTCGCCTTCGCCTCTCGTCGCCGGTAGAGCCCTAGCACCGTGTAGCCTAGCGCCGCCGTCGTAGCCGTTCGTCCAGCCGTGCGCCGCCGCCGATCCTGTCGTCGTCGTCGCTCGGGAAGGCTGCCGTCGTGATCGCCAAGCCGTCGCCGACCTCGTCCGCCCCTCCGTCGTCGCCGTAGGTTGCCGGAGGACCGTCGCCGTCGTCAAGCCGAAGGTTGCAGCCGCTTCTTCCTCGACGCCATCGCCGTCCGTTGATCTTCCGCCGTTGTTTTGGTCACCGGTGAGTTCGCCGCGTCGCCCTCTACGTGTTGGTGTCCTCCGTTCGCGTCGTCGTGCCGTCGTTCGCCGGCGAGTTTGCGCGCCTGAGCCGCCGCCGGTGGTGACGTCACCGCTGACGTCATCGTCGTCGTCTCTCGTGGTCTGGCCGTGGACCGATGGATCTTGGCCGTCCGTTTTGGATGGGTCAATATCGGCCGTTCGTTTCCGTGAGCCGCCGCCGTGCACCCGGTTCACCGTGAACCCTAGCCGCTGACGCAATAATTCCCTTTTCCTTTTCAAAAATAATTCATTATTGCGTCATAATTCAATTAAAATCTAAATAAATGATTTAATCTGATTTAATCTTTGAAAATTCATAACTAATTCATCTTAGCTCGAATTTAGTTGGTTCAAGTTTCTAATTTTTTCTAAAATAGAGATCTACATGTTAAAAATATCCACATGTACTGTTCATGCTTGTTTGTGTGCTGTTTTGGTGATTTTGCTCCTTTCTGTTTAGATTCCGACGTTTCCGGAGAGTCCGTTTTTGCAGGAGAAGATTTTGAAGAGTTCCAAGGCCAGCAAGGCAAGTCACACAGATCCCAAACATCCCTTTGAGCATGTTGATCCCGTTTAAAGCTATTGTTTCTATTCAACTATTGCATTTATTTTCGAATGTCATTGGGTGGAATTAACCTAATGTTTGTTATAGCCCTTTTGTTCTTGATTACTTTATTCCTTGATACCTTGGGTTATCATAACTTGACTAGTTGAGCTTTATATATTGGTTCAGCTAGATAGTAGATATGATTGCTTAGCCATGCTTAGAAACATTAGCACACTATTGGGATAACTTATGACTCACTATTATTTAATGATGGCTTAATGATAGCTCATGATGGTTAATCGTGATTGGTTAATTAATTAATTTGCCAACTAAAACTTGATAATGGTGGGTTGTGAGCACATGGTTTTGATGGTCGTGCTCATGACAATTAAGGACCGGTTCACGAGTTTCGGTTGTGAAACATTAACCGTGCCAACCACAAGCCAGCGTGGGCAACGGCTTTACCTTTTGTATAACATGGTTCATTGCGGGGCACCAGACTGAGAAGTGGCGGAGATAAGCCCACGGGGGTCGCTGGGGAGTCCATGCCTTGTTTATAAGGGTGATTATGATCCAGGAAAGGTGCGCTGTGGTGGATTGTGTTGTGCGAGGGGTACTGTCACAGCTCCTTTCCGAGGTACCGTGGTGGTATTGAGGCACATGGTGACATGTTGTGGGGCTGTGTCTTGTGGGTACAGTGGTACACCTCTGGCCAGAGTAAAACTATTCGAATAGCCGTGCCCGCGGTTATGGGCGGGTCTAACAATGTCTTTCGTGATTAGTTTCACACTTCTCATCATAATAAAAGATGCTATAACTGGTAATAATTTGTTTAGCCTCCTGGTTTGGAATGGTATATTCCTGGTTTGGAGATAGATATGTACAGCCGGGTATGGTTGTTCAGGATGGTTGGGCCTGAGCAGCATGGGTGTGCTGTTTAGTGTTGATTAAAATTAATGATTAATTACTCTACTGTTTTATAATTCTCAAATGTTTGCTAAATGCTGCTTTTGCAAATGAGCCATATATTATGCCATTCTTTGGTATCCTTGTGCACTTGCATATTTGCTGCGTGGCTTGCTGAGTATGTCATATACTCACCTTGCAATCATTTATCAGAGGAAGAGTTCTACAGTGATGCTGATGGTGTGGAGGATTAGGTGTAGCCCTGGTCAAGCTGCCTGTGGAGTGGAGTCGTCTGCGCCGTTTTTCTTATTTTTCCGCTGCTTAGATCTTTATTGATTGAGAGGAACTATCTACCTCTGTAATGACATTTTATTCGCTTATTAATTAGAGTAATAATTGTACTCTATTATCAATTTGTTATTGTGTGCCTCGGCTGATTCCTGGACGAGGGTTCACACACATGTAAGCGTTTGGAATTTTGGATAGAAATTCCGGGCGTGACACTCACGCTCCCCCTCTATTTATACATGAGATAGGCAGCCTAAAGCCATGAACCAAACTCATATTAGGAGTCCTAAACACCTTAGGAAACCCACTAATACAAGAAAGAAACTTTACATGACCAATCGTACCAAATTTGGACTCCTTCCAAATTCGACTCCGCATCCCATACGCACACAATAACTCCATCGTATGCCATATGGAATCTCCATCAACCACTTTCATCAGCTCTAGCCTAAGTATCCCGCATGATCTCTGACCACCACGGACGTCGTCTTATCCCCAAGCCGACTCCCGGTCCATCACCGAAACCGACACAGTGTCGGCCGGTCAGACCGCGGGCTAGCCAGTCCGACCGCTCGATCACCGCCGGTCTGACCGGCATACACAGCCCAGTCTGACCGGTCACATAAAATGATAACCTGTAGATTCACCTGTGAAATCCAATCATCTCCAAAACCACTTCGTGAATAAATTCCAAATAACAAAACCAATAATCTCCAATGGCCAATTATTCATCACAGAATAATAATCAAAAACACCTTTGATTTTACATATATCTCGTAGCAAAGCGCGGAGCATTATCTAGTATATATATAATATTAAAATACGCATCATCTCGTAGCAAAGCTCGTAGAAGTGTTATGTTAGATGGACCAAACCTTTGTTGCTTTGCTACTAAAATGGTGCAAAGCCCAGCAAATGCAAAGTTAGACAAGCCTCCCATTGGCAGTAGATCATGGTGAGTTCCTAGTTAGTGAGAATGAGATTACAGAGAAGTTAGGGCTCCCAAGGTAAATTTATGTATTCTTCCGCTATTATAGTTCACAACGAATGGCTCGGAATAAGTCGGTGTCCTGAACACTAAAGCTAGCATCACCGATGTAATTATCGACGACCTGATAAATAAGACTTACTACATCTCTATATTGAGAAGCTCTTGTATAAACTATAAAGTAAGCTAGCCATCAATAAAGAGATAGACAAGACTTTGTTCTTATTATTTTTATTAAACTTACA